CAGGGACATCTGCCTTGAGAGGCCTTGTTTCTGCTCCATCTGGAAAGTTCTCACCAATCAGCGGGTTCTGTCCGTGGTCCTGAACCCTCACTGTTGGCTTCAACGCCAGGCGTCCTGCCTCAGAGCTGCAGATCCCACTTCTGGGTGCGTGACCTGTGGGTGACTGGGACCGGGTGCTCCTCGGAGGCCTGGTGGCTCACCTGGAGCCAAGCTAGATATGACCCTGGCCATGGCCTTCCCGTGGTTCTGCTTTCCTTCCTCCTTCTGTGCTGAGAGACGGATCACATGCCATCAAAGTCGCCATCTGCAGGTCCGGGATTGCGTGGTTCCCAGGACATTCACAAAACGATGCCACAACCACTACCCAGTCCCAGAAGGTTTCCATCGTCTACAGACTGGACTCCTGCCCTTTGAACCGTTGCTGCGCCTTCCCCTCCCCCACTGCTGCTGGCAACCTTCCATCTGCACAGGTTTGCTGTCCTGGACATCTCGCATGGATGGGACCCAGCACCGTGTGGCCTTCCATGTCTCTCCTTGTACTCAGTCCCCTCACATGGTTGGTATGGGTCTGTGGGCCATTGCTGGCCACCGCTGGGTGTATCCATGTGTTCCCTCTTGTCCTTCCCGAGAGCGTCACCGTGATCAGTGCACACCCCTCCATCTGTTTCGCACTCCAGAATCTGTCTTTATTTAAAAATTTAAAATACGATTTGTAAAAATACAGGAAACAGCCAAAGCAGTTAACATTTATGAGGGCACCTCACATAACAAAGCATGTTTTCTCCGAAGCCTCGGGCTTTCTTCAAATTTGAAATGACAGTGATTTAAGGTCCCCAACTTTATTGATTCTTTTCAGTAGAACAGGACTGTGATAGAGGGAGATGGAGGGCGGGGAAACCCCAGAGCTGGAGAGAGGAAATGTTTCCCAGAGTCTTGCCTCTGTCATCCTGGGGTGGTTGGGAAACGGGGCGATGGACCTGCTTTCAGGGCAGCCAGGGCCAGCAAGCAGGGGACACCAGCTCTGCAGGGAGACACTCCCCTGAGTCCCAGGTCGGGGGCTTGGGTAGGTTCTGAAAATGGGACAGTCATATGCATTTCAATAGTGTCCTTGGCATCTCATCTAAACACTGAATTAGCCTTGACTGAAAAGGGACTTGGGAGGACAACCCATCATGTGTCCCTCTGTGCCTGCTGTCAGTTCATGTATAGGCGTGCATATGCTTACTGCACACGCACACACACATGCACACCCACACCACACCTACATGCGCACAGGCACATGCACACACATACCACACACTTTGGTTCCAGGAAAGCTTCCCTCCGTCCCCACGCCCCCTCTCCTGGGTCGCTGGGGCCAGACACACGTCGTCTCCTGCCAGACCTGGCTGATGTGTCCAGCCCAAGCCTGTGTTTCTCTCTGTTCTCCCTGCTTCCGCAGCGTTTGCTGTTGCCTTCTGTAATCCCACGATTTCTACCCTTTCTTCATCATAGCACAGACTGCTTCTCAAGGTCCCGAGAGAGGACAAGTCTAGGCCCCGCTTTGTAACTCAATGTCCAGGGCTGTGCTAAGGCACAGGACCGGCTTCTAGGGCTACACACGACCCCAGGCTGGGGCTTCATCAACAGGGTTCATGGTTCCGGAGGCTGGAAGTCCAAGGTCTAGGTGTTGGCAGGCTTGGTTTCTCCCGAGGTCTCTCCTTGACTTGCAGACAACTGCGTCCCTGGTGTCACTTCTTATTCTTATAAGAACATGAGTCCTGCTGGCTTGGGGTCACCCTACAGCCCCACAGCACCTGAATTACCCCTTTCAAGATACCTTCTACTTTTAAATACAGTCACACTGAGGATTAGGGCTTCAGTATACGGATTTGGGATCAGAGGCACGATTCAGTCCGCAGCACACACAGATCCCAACCTCCAGAAATCCCACGTCTAACCTAGACTGCTAAAACAAGCATCCAGCTCATCAAGGGTGGGGGGCATGGGTGGCAAAAACCAGTATCAAAACGTGCCCTTGCATGCTGGCTATGTGGTTATAGGTGCAGTAACCAGACGCCTGACGTAAAAACGTTCACAACTGAATTTACTCCCGCCGGCTGTGCCTCCTGTTTCATCAGATGGTCTCCCTTCGTGTCGGGAGGAAGGAGGATGTGTGACAGTGACAAACTTGCCCAAGTTCTCCAGATTTACTCTTACTTTTTTAATAAAAGGGGGGGTGTAATTTATTTATTTGAGAGGCAGAGAGAGCACGTAGAGTAGGGAGGAGCAGAGGGAGAGAACCTCCAACAGACTTCCTTCTGAGCACAGAGCCCAGCGACCCTGAGATCGCAGCCTGAGCCAAAACCAAGAGTCAGACACTCAACCGACTGAGCCACCCAGGTGCCCTGTTCTTATTTCTTGCTCAGACTCTAGACCCAGGGCTGGTCCCTGATCATAGCTCAGAGCCCCAGGCTGTGGCAGCAGCTGCCGTCTGGAATACTTCGGGTCACTCTGCCTCGGGAAAAGTCCCTAGAGGAATGTGGGTAACTGTCCTTGTCCAGCAGTGACCCACGCCGTGTCAGCCAGAATTAGTCATGCAGCTCCCGCCAGCCGCACAGACTCTGTGCGTGAAATATACCTTCCAAAGGTGGCCAGAATCCAGAAGGCAGGGGGCCTGTAGCTTTGTCCACATGGGTCAGCCTTGTGGGACACAGCACAGAGCAGAGTGGATCTGGAGGGACCCACAGAGGACACTCAGCATGTGACTCGTCCCCAGCACCTCTCCAGCCGAGCCCACGGGCCTATGGCCCCCCATCCGCAGTTCCAACAGAGACGCTCAACTCAGTCTGAGCCACTGACCCCCCAACACTTCCTCTACCCATTTGGAATCTCCGTGACAGTTAATTCTCTGCTCCTGGAATTTGGGGTGGCCAGGGAGACCGCTACTATGTCCACCCAGTCTGAATCTGGACGCGATTCCGTTTAGGGCCAGGAAGTGTTATCGGGTGGGGGCGGGGAGTGTGTGTGCTTGTGTGTACCTGCAATGACCATTAGGAACCTAATCACAATTAACCCACGAGGGAGCTTGCTGGCTTAATGAAGCCATTAGCCAAAGACCATTCTGAGACAGAAAATGTAAAGACTGAGCTCCGAGCGCATTACCTGTAATGAACCTGAAAATGGACTGGGGAATTTCCGCGGTATTCTTAGCATCGGGAATGGCCAGTGTGCGAGCCGCCAGGCTGCAGCCCTGGCGCTGGGAATCCTGCGGACCCAGGAGAAGCCCCGGCAGAGGGCTGTGTCACCACCGGCGGGTGGGCAGCAGCCTCAGAGAGAGGCTGGGACTCTGCTCCTAACTGAGGACTCCTTCAGATGTGCACCTGCTTAATGCAAAGGGTCATTTCTGGGTCCGTTGCCTCCCTGGAGAAAGAAGTGAGGAAATCTCTCTCCTTACAACTCCGGCTTCAAAGAGGAGTGGAGTTTCTGGAGCCAGATTTTGGGATGAATCGACCCAGAGGTAAAAGGCGCGGACAGACGTCCCAAAGCCACAGACTTTTCTTTTCTTCTTTTTTTTTTTTTAGTCTTCATTTGGCCCTAAAGGGAATAATGACCAAAGGGCTTCCAGACAGAAAAGAGACTCTCTTATCACTTTGAACATCCCTGCCTGGGTGGGAGACGCGATGCTAATTGTATTGCACGATCTTGGTGTGAACGGAATGAGCTCAAGTCCCCAGAGCTGGGATGGAAAGGGCTCCCACCGGCAGTGGAGAGAGAGCCTTTGGTTTGCATAAAAGTCTGCATGAAAGACGGCAGCCGGCGGTCCAGCGTCCGTCACCAAGGTCTAGCGATCCTGGGCATCGGGGGATAAAAGTGACCGACTCACTGATCTTGGAGCAGACATCGGCTCTGGTTTGCTGGCCACGACTCTCTTCACTCCCTCTTCTTCCCAGAGTGGCCTTTCTCCTGGGTCAGTGTGAGTCACAGGGAGGCCATCCTTCCCTGGACGAGGGATGGGCACTGAGCCCCCACGAGACCAACCAGACTGCCCTCCCCCCACCCACCCCCAGAATGTAGCTCCTCAGCAGAGGGACTCCGAGAATTGGTGAAGCCGTTCACTCCGCGCCCCGACTTGCCGGTTTTCGATGTCCTGGAATCACGTCAGGGGCCTGCTTTTCCGAGGCCTGCTGCAGCCTTTCCTGTGACCCTGGGAGCTGCCCAGGACCCAGCTGATGAGAACCGGTGTTAGTTCCCTACTTCCATACCAGATGAATCCCAAGCTATTATAGTACAGTTCTGGGCATCAGAAATCAGAAGTGAGTCTTACAAAGCTAAAATCACGGAGTCAGAAGGGCTGGATTCCCTCTGGAGGCCGTAGGCAAGGATTGGTCCTTTTCTAGACCCTGGGGCCCCCCCCACATCTCCCAGGTCATGATCTTATCCCCTGACCCCTGCCTCGTTACCCGCCTTGTCCCCTCTTCCTCTGACCCTCATGGTCACCTCCTATGAAGGACTCTCATGATTCCACTGGGTCTGCCTCAGGCTGCCCAGGACAGTCTGCCCGTCTCAAGACCCGTCCCTTCATCACAACTGCAAAGACCCTTAGATCACGTAACAGAACAGACTCTCCAGTTCCAGAGATTAGAGCTCGGGCTTTGGGGTGGGGAGGCGCGTTACTCAAACGACCGCCACACCTTGCTCAGACTAGACGGAGTTCCTTTCTGTTGCCTACAACCCAAACCCGACTGATAACGTCACTTCCCGTCGGTCTCGGCGAAGGAAGAAAAAAATACCTGATAACCGCTGCAGTGGGTCACTAAGAAGATGATCCCAAGTAAAACCAAACTGTTAAATGTTCTTGGAAAATGATCCCCAAGAACGGCCTTTCTTTGCCCAAGGGGAGGGCTACGGCATCACGTTCTCGACAAGGACCCCCTGGCAAACACTTTGGAAGGTTCCCGGTAGTGTCCCAGAGCACTGACTAGCCCCCTTGACCCAGGTACGTCTGCTTCCTCCGCCAGGACACGGAAATCCTGAACACCGCCATACTCACGGGGAAGATGGTATCCCTGCCCATCAGGGTGGTCTCCGTGGAGGAGAACAGTGCCGTGACGGATATCTCGGAGTCGGTGGAGTGCAAGTCCACAGACGAGAACGTCATCAAGGTAAGCGCCCCACTGATCACCTGCTTGGACGGATGGGAACTTCCGCTGAGCACCTCATTCGCTGGGAAGGTTTGCCCCCTGCCCAGAAATGAGCAGTTCAGCTGGTGGGTTTACGTACACCACACTTTCAGTCGCTCCACTAAATGTTTCCGTTTCGATGATCCGTATCAGCATCACTCCCAACCCGGTATTCATCGAGTATGCTTTGGGCTGCGGTTCAGACTCTGAAAACGCAGAGGAAGCAAGCAGGTGACGGCCCTGGGGGCAGTGTAAGCCAGACGCGCCCTGGGCTAGAAGGACGCCCCGTCCTTGGCTACTGCTAGTCGTGGCTGGGAGTACCCGGGAGTCAGTATTGCTGTCTTCTCAAAAGAAACTACAGATTTGGATTTTATGTAAAGATCACTTGTGTTCCCCCGTGGACAACCAATTATAATTTTTATTCATGGGCAAAAAATACATCTGCAATGTGAGTCCGGCCCATGGGCAGCTGTTGGAACCACTGACAGGGCAGATCATGAACGGTGAGTCGAATCCGGCCCCCCTCTTCTGTTATGTAAATAAAGTTTTATTGGAATGTGGCCGTTCAAACCTATTTCTGTATTGTCTGTGATGGCTTTTGCATGACTGCAGGAAGGTCCCGTGATGACCTACAAAACTAACACATCTATTCGTTCGCCTTTCCAGGGAAGAGTTTCCCTAGAAAAGCCCTGCTCTAGAGACTAAGTTTCTTGGTGGAATGACCCTAATTCTTGGTCTTTCCCGCCAATATTCGCTGTGATGTGCCCACAATGCTTGTTCAAGGAATAAGAGAGCACGAGGGCTGTTCCAAGCCCGAAATGAACCATTTGGTCTTTCTCCATGTGTTTTGTAGTCCTGGAAACACACCCAGAAGAAAACATAAAAGATCCAAGGCAAGCAAGTGGATAATGGGTTTTTTCCCTCAAGTGGGGTCTGACACATAGCATCAGAGTCTTTTCTCTGGGGTTAAAAGCGGCACGTGTCGTCAAGGAGAACAAATCACTGAGTGCGGGGGTTAGGGTGGAAAGACCCTTCCCTGCAGACCGCAACCCCACTCGGCTCCGACCGCCCATCACTCTCAGAGCATTGGGCAGAGGGTGGCATGCAAGCTGTCTGGGTCGTGACAACCTCCCGGTGGCGGCAAGGGACCCCAGCAACACCAGGATGTTCTCACCGCTTCCTGACTATTGTAGGCAGCATCTCAAGGAAGAGATGCTTTTTCCTAATTCCCCCGAGAGTGACTGATGAGTAATGGCAGTCCCAAACCCACAGTGCCTTACAGAAGACCTGAGAGGCCTGCGGGAGGAGGGGGAGGGGATGAAGTGCTGAGCCACACTGTCCAAGAGAAGCCACGTGGGGCACACACGTGCTTTCAGTGTCTCCAGTGGTCCCACTCAGAAAAGGAAGGACGGTGAAGCTAATTGTTCTAAGTGCATGTATTTAACCCGTCATATGAAAACCATGATCATTTCCCATGCAATCGATATAAAAATGATGAATGCGACATTTCGTTACTTTTTGGCACCCAGTCTTTCGAATCCACCGCGTATGCGCACGTAGGGCACGTGTCTGACCCGACCCTACTCCAGGGCCCCCCGGCCACCGTGGCCAGTGGCTCCTCCACTGGACACAAAGATCTCAACACGGGGGCAGGATTTCATAATGTCAGCTCTGCTGGTATTTTGTGCCTGGTAATTCTTTGCTGGGGGTCTGTCTGTGTGTTAGAGAACCAGTGCTCTGAGGAAAGCCTGCTCTCTTTCTGGCTGGACCGTCACCCCACTTGTGGCCAAATCACCCCACATTCCTGGCGAGGCCAAGGTGGGGAGGAGCCCGTTGGTTCAATCCGGAGCCTGCCCTGCCCCAGCCACAGTCACACACCCCATCCTTGGCAACCCTCTGTCTTTACGAACGATCTGCAATTCCCCTAAGAGTCAGGACTCCTGGTAAGGAAGTGTGACCCTTTGAAAGGACACGTTCACACTGACAACTTCTCTACAGGGGTTAAAAAGTCTGTCCGTGAGCCGACAAAATCCCCAGAAACAAGTTTCACTGTAGTTGTTGGCGTAACTACCTTTAGCTCGTCTTCAATGAGTTTGTCGTGGAGTCATTACTTACGACCGTTTTTAGAGAGAAGGAAAAGAGAAAGCTAGTATTCCTGGTATTTCCAGGAATATACTAGCGTTTCCAGGAATGGGATCAGTATCTTTAGAGAAACAAATGTATCCAAACTAAAAATTGCCACCTGGAACGACTTTGGAGTCGCTGCCCCCCCCGCGGGTGACTAAGCAGCGGGTCATCCCAGGTCAGCAGAAGCCGGGTGGGGATGTGGGAGCGGGCTGGGCGGACTCGGACTCCGTCCCCAGGACGCAGACTCAGCCCGTGGCTCGGGGTCTGATGATGTCAGCCATACTTACCGAGGTAGTGGGACACAGCTCAGAGTGCCATGGGGAGGAGGCAGGGAGGGAACCTGTGGCAGGTGCAGGAGGGTCTGGATTTGGACAGAGCTGAGTTCTATAGACGATGCCAAAGGCTCTGACATCCTCCCTGGGCACAAGTGGGCAAAACAAGCTGCCCCAGTTTGCTGCTGGAAGAAGTGACCCCTGGTCGGGGACGGAGTGCGGCCAGTGTTTCTGTGTCTCCTGCCCTAGATGCCTGAGTTCTTCTCCCCACGGGATCATGCCAGGGGCCACGCCAGGGACACCTGTGCATGCAGGCTCGGTTGTGAGAGAAGAGCCCTGGGCTTTGGGGGCTGCAGACCGGACCAGGCTGGCCCCTTGATCTAAGACATCCACCTTCCAGAAGAGTGGGAGCCAGAAACATCCAAGACACCCGGTCAGAGCAGCCCATGGACTGAGGCAAGAAGCCCACCTGTCCTTCACCCCAGAGAGAGAGAAAGAGTGTGTCTCCGTCCTGCTTGGCCACAAGCATGCCTGCCCTGTGCTCTTTAAGGGGATCCTGTCTCTGCCTTCCAAGGCTGCTCGTTAGTTGGACATCCTTGAAAAACAGCATTCAGACAAAGGCAATAGAGGCTTTGCTTGTAGGATGTGCAAGAGAACCATGGAGAAATCTTCCAAAGCCTTCACAACCTCGCCGTCCTGAGCTCTGTAGTCTTGAGCAATTCGTACATCCTCTCCCCTGCCTGGTCTCCTTCGGAAAGTGGGGACCGTCACAGTCCCTAGTCCAGAAGGCCACTGTGACGATTATCAAGTTTCATCAATCACAAAAAGGACTTGACTTAGTAGCCCACACATGGAAAGGGCTTAGCTCTGAGCCCGGTTTGCTCAGGCACCTTCTCGACAGCCCCGGGAGGGACACTGAGGGCTGTGGGCCCATGTGCTACACACAATGTTGCTAAAATAATTAGAATTGCAACTCGCTTCGTGGGTATAGTTCAGCGATACCTTAGTATCGCTTCCTGGGCTGGGTAACCATTGTCATGACCCAGTTTTAGAATACTTTTGTCACCCAATTTGCCGTTAATCCCCATCCCCACCCCTAGCCCTGGGCAACCACTAATCTACTTTCCATCTCTATAGATTTGCCTTTTTTGGACATTTCATAGAAATGGAATCATACAGTATGTGGTCTCTTATTAAAGCAGCTCGGAGAGCGTTTCTTACACATCTCTCTTGACACATCGATGCGTATCCATATATAGAAAAATAATTTTTGAAACATGAGATCACGAAACACAAACTTCCCTCACCACAATTTTTGTAACTGTCAAATCTACACACACACACACACACCCCTGCGTATCCATCAGCCCCCGGGGGTCAGTGTGGACCTACCCGCCCTCCTTCTGTCCCTTTTTCCCCGTGGATGCTCAGGCACACAGAGAAGCACGGTCCGTCCCCCTGTGCCGAGATGGGCCCCGGCATGTACACGGTTCTGCCTGTTCCCTCATCCGCCTGCAGCACCCCCTGGTGTGCCCTTGAGCGGTGGGCGTCTGGGGAAGGGAAGCCACCGGTGCCGAGAGTCTGGTCTGGGTTGCGCTCAGCACCCCGAGTGTGGGTTTGCAGGCATCGAGTGTGAGTGGGGGGCGGGCTGAGCGCTCCGGGAGCATCTGCGTGGATGTCTGTCCAGCAGGACGAAGAGTGGCTTCCCAAGGACAAAGTCTCCAGGAACAGGAACAGGAAGGGGATGTGGAACGTGAGTGAGCAGCCCCAGGGCCCTGGTGCCCCCCATGGAGTGCTGGCTGTCCCCATCTGTCCACACCCCAGCGTCGCTGGAAAAAAGACGTGTCCTGTAGCCAACGATGGGGCATTGTCCCCTCTCTTGGGGAGGGGCCTCAGTTTCCTCTGGGCGCTGCCCCTGTGGGCCTGAAACTTCCTCTCTGCTGGAGGCGCTTTGGATCCACAAGCTCGGAGTCCTTGGGAAGCTGGGTTCTGGGCAGCAGCCCCCGGGGTCTGCCTGTGAGGCCGGGGCGCTGTGGGTGGTGCCCCTGGGCCCCAGGGCAGAGGAGGCAGGCTTTCCCTGGGAGGGAAGAGCAGCCCCCGCACTCACGCCCGAGGGCGCTGGGAGAAGCACCTTCCTCCCCAAGAGCCACGGAGTGAAAGCAGACCCAGGAGCGCAGAGCCTTCCTGGACCGCAGGGTGCCGGGGGCCGGGCACCAGCCGGGTCCTTTCCGGCGACGTCTCCGCTGCCCAGTGAGGACGCTCCCCGCACGAGAGCAATGGCTGGACCCAGGGGCTCACGTGAACTAATCAGTATTTCATGTTTGACTTTCTGTCTCTTTTGTGCTGATTGAATTCTGAGACCAGTTGTCCCGTCCCAGGATGGCTGCAAGTGGCTACAAAACCTTATTTTTACATGTAGAATATCCCAGAAAAAATGTACAAATGCCTTTAGTGCAGCCCGGAAAGCTCCCGAGATTCCCTCTGCACCAGCATAGCCCATGGGGTCACCCCGAGTCAGCCACTGCCGCCAGGGCAATGCGCAGCCCGGGTTGTGGTCACGTGACCCTATTCTTGAGGCCAGAG